CTGAATCCCGTGGCTGCCAAACCTGGCATGCAGATGGCTTGGGAGGGCTGTGCCAGCCCTACTCTTCCACTTTACCAGCACTGCACCCCTCACCCTGCAGCTACTGCATAGAACCAGGATTCTGCCAGGTCTTCCCAGGGCTGAAGCACAGACATGTGGCCAGTTATAGAAACTTAGAAATACATGAGCTAGGCCAGTGAGGCTGTCCTCAGCTCAAACCCTTTTATTCAGCTTTTAACCCCCAAAATTCATAGACTCAGAATAAATGAGGCTGGACAAGGTGTCACTTGATGCAACGCCTCACCATCAACACACACACACTCTCAAAGCAGTCTGTAAGTATGTGGACATAAATTATAGAATTGTTTAGGTTGGCAAAGACCTTTAAGATCATTGAGTCCAACCATTAACCCAACACTGCCAAGGCCATTACAAACCCGTGTCCCCGAATGCCACATCCACAGATCTTTTGTCCCTCCAGGGATGGTTATGCCAATGTGTGACACCTGTTCTGTGAAGACATTTTCCCTACTATTTCAAATCTAAACCTCCTCTGGCACAAATTGAGGCCATTTCCTCTTGTCCTGTCCCCATTCCCTGGAACAGAGCCCGACCCCCCCGGCTGCCCCCTCCTGTCAGGGAGTTGTGCAGAGCCACAATGTCACCCCTGTGGCCTCATTTTCTCCAGGCTGAGCCCCTTTCCAGCTCCCTCAGCAGCTCCTGGGGCTCCAGACCCTTCCCCAGCTCCGTTCCCTGCCCTGGACACGCTCCAGCCCCTCAGGTCTCTCCTGTAGTGAGGGGCCAGCACTGGACACAGCACTCAAGGTGTGGCCTCACCAGAGCCGAGTACAGGGGTGAACATTCAATTCCCTGCTCCTGCTGGCCACACTATTGCCAACACAGCCCAGAGGCCAATGGCCCCTTGCCCACCTGGGTGTTCCTGGTGCTCAGCCATGTCCCCAGCCGCCCCAGGGCYTTGCCATGTGTGCAGATTTGCAGCCCTCTGGCCCAGCCTGTTGCACTGCCAGGGCTGTTGTGGCCCAAGGACAGCATTTCACCTCGGTGACCCTCGCAGCGATGGCCTCGGCCCATCCATCCAGCCTGTCCTGATCCTCAGCACATCTACTCTCCAGCAGATCAGCACTTCCACCCAACTTGATCACTGAATTYAGCTGAATTTGCCAAAACTGTGACCTCGGTGCAACAGCCTCATGCTTGGGGCAACTTGCAAATATGAAAATTTGAAGGAGGAACTACTGAGCAAGGTCTGGAAACAGTGAACAAGAGCTGCTGGACATGGAATAGGAGACATCAGTCTTCTCTGGGTGTCTAAACTGGACATGAAAACAGAGGGCATTGGTTTCTGGAATAGATTGCAGGTCACCCCTCGGTCACCACCACTGGGCTCATCAGCAGCTGATTTATGTATTTTAAAAGCTATAGAGTTCATCATAACTTCTTGGTAAAACTCCAGGAGACAAAAAATATTTCCTTCCTGTTCAAAATTCATTTGACATCCTATCCTAGTTCTGTTCTCACCATCTCTTAACACTGAGAGAGCAAACCTAAGTTCCCGTGTTGTTTAAGAACACATATTAAGAATAAGCTCATTTCTGTCCTATCTACACTGTCCCTGTGCTGTTTGTTTCTGTCTCATCAGAGTACAATACACAACATTAGAGAGCATAAATCACTGTGCCCACACAAAGAGCATCAGAGAAGTTCAAACTGAAAACTACGAGAAGTAAGAAACCATGAGGAGATCTGCTTTGCCAGGAGTGATAAAGTATCTATCCAGCGACACATTTAAGAACAAATTCTTAAAGGCTTGCATCACAGCTGAAAAAAAGAAATCCTCAAACCTCAAAACATTTGTATGTACATATCTGGGAAGTCATCGCCTCGAAGAACAAGGTCTGCTTTGGTTAGTCACAGTAATTCAAGTGGTTAAATGGGCTATCCAAAAAACCCATGTTCATTAAAAATCTGGCACATTTAAACTATTGCAGGAATGTTAAAGCCAACTGATCAGTTAATTACTGGCTGCTCTGGTGAGGCAAATGAAAGCCAGAGGCACGTCGGTGCTTCCAGCAAAGAAAGGGAGCAGTGACACGCGCAGTTCCCAAACG